ATATATAGCTTAGTATCATTTTATAACTCCTCTCTCTTAAGAAGAAAATAGATTCCAGCAACATAAACCTCTACTAAGAAGCAGGAAACATTTCAACTTATTAGAAACTTCTCAGAAAAGGCTAGGGTGTTACAGTACATATATATATTACCTAGTAAAATAACTCAAATGCACTGCCTCTGGAGTCAAAAGGTCCGGATTCCATATTCTGATTCACATGCAGCTGTGTGATACTAGGTTGTTCACAAAGTTTCTGAACCCGTTTCCTCATCTATAGAATGAAGATAGTAATAATAATACCTATACCTCATAGGGGTATTGAAATAATCAAGAAGACTAACTATGAAACATTCCTTGTAAAAAATAAAAATAAGATATAAGTCAAATATAAAACTCAGTTCAGCCAGTAAAGGCAAAGAGAAGGGGAGAAGGAAGTTGTGAGTGTTATTTCAAGGCAGGTACCCTATGTTAGAAAAACTTGAGCCAAAGGAAAAAAAATCTCTTCTCTTTCCCACGCTGGCCCCTATTCTTCTGTCTCTGCCTAGCTCATGCCCAGGAGCTCTTAGAAAAAGGTTTTTAAGAGCTGGATTTGAAGATTTAACATAGAGTAATGGAAGAGGGCATCTGATGCCTGAAATAAAGAAGAGAGATAATATGGGAAGAAAAAAAACAGAGCAGAGCAGGGGAAATGGGGACAGAATGTTAACAACAGGGGTCTTATTTTTCCATTTTGGTTGCTAAACACTGTATCTTTGTTCATAAAGTACACAGGAAGTATTCTGCTTCACCCTTATGAAGAACCTAATGACAAAATCACAAGTAACACGTCACACCATTTTCAATCCAGAACTCTGTCTACTGCTACCTCAGCAAAATAAGCAATATTACCAATGGTGGTCCCAATATCTTAAACAGTAAGTGTCCCTAAAACCTATAACCCCAGTCTAATCATTAGGAAAAACATCAGACAGGTTCCAAATACAGGAGCATCCTACAATATACCTGACCAGAACTCCTCAAAACTCCCAAGGGAGGAGGTGGGGACATGGGAATTCTCTAATGTGCTTAATTTTTCTATAAATCTAAAATTGTTCTCAAAAATAAAGCTTATTTTTAAAAAATTAAGTTGATCAATCTATAGACATGAGGATATCTGAAGACTTAGGAAAAATGTGATCAACTTCCTACAGAACCATTATATTCTTAACAAACAACAGTCTATAGTTAAAAATACAAAATGGCAGGAAGTTTTTGTTTGAGATCACACACTCACTTGCCCAGAAGGCATCTTGTGAGCAAGCTTTAGAGACAAAAATATTAATGTTATGGTTCTTGAACTTTAGTGTGCATCAGAATCACCTGGAAGGCTTATTCAAAAAAAGATTGTTGGGCCCCACACTGACAGCTTTTTATTCAATAGACTTGGATAGGGCCTATAAATTTATATTTTAACAAAGTCCCAGGTGATGCTGATGCTGCTGCCCAGTCCATGGACTACACTTTGAGAACCACTTATTTGTGTGAGACTTAAGAACAACTATATTAATAGAGAATATACAAAGCAAAATCAAATGAATCCCTGAGTCTTTATAGTACTTATTAATGAACAGGGAAAAGGAATCATAAACTTTTATGATAAAATCATCCAACTATTCCAGGCGAAAGAGATTTCAGAGTATAAAAGTCATAAAACATGAATTATCACAGGAAAGAGTGAGCTGTACAACCTGCTGACAAGGCAAGTAACAAACAGCACAGATTATCATAGAAGACAAATATCCAAAAATATTGCACTATAATGTTCAGCCCATGACATAAATTTGTACCATGATGACATCATGAAATTGAGTACACTTTAAAACATGGAAGAAAAACAAAAGAAGCCTTGGAAATTACAAAAAAGATATTCATTACTGGCTTAAAAAAGAGTAAGATAGGCCGGGCACGGTGGCTCACGCCTGTAATCCTAGCACTCTGGGAGGCAAGGCGGGTGGATCGCTCAAGGTCAGGAGTTCGAGATCAGCCTGAGCAAGAGCGACACCCCGTCTCTACCAAAAAATAGAAAGAAATGATCTGGACAACTAAAAATACATATATATAGAAAAAAATTAGCCGGGCATGGTGGCGCATGCCTGTAGTCCCAGCTACTCGGGAGGCTGAGGCAGAAGGATTGCTTGAGCTCAGGAGTTTGAGGTTGCTGTGAGCTAGGCTGACGCCACGGCACTCACTCTAGCCAGAGCAACAAAGCGAGACTCTGTCTCAAAAAAAAAAAAAAAAAAAAAGAGTAAGAAATATAAAAGAAGATAGAGTACTACTTAAGATCTTAAAATATTCATAACAAATAAAAGAATAAACTAATAAGAATGGGAATAGAAAAGCTTGTCTTACTCTGGATAAAAGTTAATTTTTTAAAAAAGAAAAAAATGAAATATCAGGAGAAGGAAGAATTGCTGTATATAGGTCAGAAGACAATAGGCTACCAATCAAACTCCACTTGACAAGTCTGAGGTCCTTTCCATTCATCTTTTAATTAATAAATTTGCATTTCTCTAAACTAGACTACTGATCTTACCATACTATAAATCACAGATCCTTTCGCCTCCCTCCATCCCCTTCAATGTAATGGGAAGGGGATTATCCTATTTCAGTGTTCTCAATAACAGTAAGTTTTTATGTCTACGGTAGAGACTCAGCACAGTGTGGGCCCAGGTGATGATGTTAGCGGAGCTGTGGGTACTGAGGGCTTCCTGCCTATATCTCTTTCCATGTAACACTTCCGTTTTGTTAAAATAAAGGCTAGAAATAAAATAATAATAAAGGTAGGCTTTCTTTTCTTTCTACCTGCTGCTCCTTGACCAGGGTTTCTCTGCTCTTTATCTCACTACAGAACAGAAAGCAAGAGTATAATTTTTCCCTTTTGACTCTAAGTCCCCTATTATTAACTTTTGTGGAAAGATTATGTTTCCTTTTGGTTTCAAAAGTACTACTTTTTTTCCATAAAATTACTTATTTCAGCTACTAAATGGATATGGAAATGTCAGGATTTTTCCCTGTACTCTTTTCAAAATAAAAAGCTGCTTCATCTATTTTGCCACTTACATTACTCTTCTGAATCTTGCCTAACTCAAGTAGTGTGAATTAAGATATTGTACAGATATCACTTTCTCCTATACTTTGAAAATTCAATCTGTCCGGAAAATTGCTTTTTGTTTCAAATAGTAAGTTAAGACATAGTTAGGTAAACTACCTGAAGGTGCTCCAACCCAAGCCAGACCAAGTACGCCATCATCAAAATCTCGGTCTGTGAAGACATAGGCCAAACAGTAGTCATCATGATTCTGCTCAGAATTCAATTCCAGAAACTTCTCCACACCAATATTTGGGAAACGGAAAGGATTTGTAGGGTCCTTCTCATCAGCAGTTGTATTGATCTAAAATCCAAAACAATAATTTAAATAAGCAATTAACGTCAGCAGAGCCTTAGTGTCTCTGCTTACTTCCTTCTGCATATACCTGGACAGTATGCTTAGGGTCTGATGGAAACCAGGCCTGAATTAAGGCTTCTAGAATTGTTACCACTACGTCCATTCCCGAGCTGATCATAGAAGTCAAAAAAAAAAAAAAAACAGGCAGGGTCGGGGAATTAAAATTGAAGATGTTAAATTTCTGAGCAAGTATTTACCAGATTCCTGAATACTAAACACTCGGGGAAAAAGAACAAGTTTTGCTTTCAAAACCTCTAATAAAAGAAATACAGTTTCTCAAACTCAATCATCTGAACAAGTCTCCTTCAGTGCTAATCTCCTACTTATGGTGACAAGTATAAAGACATAAAACCCTAATTTTACCTAATTATTAGAACATAAGATAGATCTGAACTCAAGACTATCAGTTCTGCAGACAAATCATTCTCTTGGTTCTCCTCGCCTAAAGAGACACATGAGTTAAATCCAACTAAGAGCAAGTTCATTTTTTTTTTCGTAAATGTGGGAAAGAATTTTATTTGCTGATTTCAACTTCTTTTACTATTTTAAGCTGAGTTCCTCTTGACTGTTTCTTTTGATACTTAGCTACTATACTCCTGGTGAAGGTTTCTCCTTCACAATCTGAAGAATAATCTATTATAATATCAAACTCCTTTGAAACAAAAGCTTTCATTTATTAGCCCCTACCTCCTTTATGAGACCCCTGCCTGTCCCTTGAAGTCCTAGAACAATTTGGCTTTCCCCAGGTAAGCCAGGGAATTACACACAAGACTTGACAGAGGTTAAAAAAGGAATGTATAAAAGTAAATGTTTTTACTAGAAGGCAAACTTTTAGTCTATTTGAAAATGCTGGTAGTAAAGGGATGATATAATGGTTGATACAACAAGAACTACAGGTCTTTTCATGATCCATACCCTCTAGTAAAACCAAGAGGCTCAAAAGCAGGATGGCAAAAACACCATAAGGACAATTGCCTAAGGACAGATTTCAGAACATTTGGTTTCTCCATTAACAATTAACCAGAAACAATCAGTTATGGTCATTTAACACACAAAAATTTCAAAAGTAAGCATACTATGTATTATAGATAGTCCATGCTTAATGACATGGTGTGGCTTTCCTCCACTAAATACAGAAAAGAAATTCCCTGATAATTCTGTAATATTGGCCACAAATAAAAATTACATCTAAATTTTAGTTACCTGTATTACAAATGAGGCAATTAATATTTAATAGTTGCTGAAAATATAAATTTTAAATTATTTAATGGGTCATGAACAATCTTCAACAGATAAAATTTAAACCAAGGTTTTAATAAGAGTTATGGTCTAGAAACAACCAACTGCCACATTATTCATTTATATACATGTATTTCTTCATAATACGAATCATTTTCCTAAAAAAAGTGCTTCACTAAAATTTGTTCTGGAGTTCTCTACCTTTCACTACTTAGCATTTTATTGCTCTGCCTACTAAACAGCAGTATTTATACCACTTTTCACTTTTACTTGCTCACATATGGGTCTACATTGCTCTCAGGATATATGATACATATACTGTAAATCTACAGTATAAAACAATCCAATTTGAGATTTAATCATACTACTTTTAAAAGGAAGAATCACCTATAGCTATGTTACTAAATTATGTATTTACTAAAATTTTCTAGCACATACTTTTTTTTATATAGTCAACCATATTTTTTTAGAATATGTGATGCAGAAGCGAGCACAGTCAACCATATTTTAAGAAAACCAGGAGAGCACAAATATAAAGGAAGTCTGGCAAATACTGTTTTGTGAAATGATTTTTTTAAACTCAGGTGTTTATCTAGTTTATAAATTCTTAAAAGCCATACACATATATTTATAAAATTCACAGAATTTTTTAAACAGCCCCATTTTGACAGTAATTAATATAATATTTATTTGCAATTTATGACATTAAAATTAATCATCAGTGATCCTGTGGCTCTGGATTAGCATTTCTCCAAATGTGTTCTGCAGTATTTTGGAATCTCAGTTGACGTTAATTTTAAAAAGGTTCCATGGTCAAAGTAGTTTAGAAAAATATGAGTCTCTTTCCTGTATGACTTCTAAAAACTTGAAACATTTTAGTGTGAGCTGTGAATTTTCAAGATTATAGTATTCAATGTTTTTCTAAGTTCTAATTTTATTTAATATTTAAACACTGTATCTATCCTCCTTCCCTCCTGCTGCACCAAATGGAATACATACCAAAAAATATTGCACAAGGTAAATCTTAAGAAACTGGGGAATAATGTCAGGGGTTGGGGGGAGGGAAGTCAAGTAGTATATCTGTACTTATTGAGGGGTTAGGGCTTTCTTGATGGTATATTAATCAGATTAGGTAGAAGTAGTATTTTACCTCTATTGTAGTACAGATTAAGGCCTTTAATTCTTTTTTTTTTTTTTTTTTTGAGACAGAGTCTCACTTTGTTGCCTGGGCTAGAGTGCTGTGGCATCAGCCCAGCTCACAGCAACCTCAAACTCGTGGGCTCAAGCGATCCTGCTGCCCCAGCCTCCCAAGTAGCTGGGACTACAGGCATGCGCCACCATGCCCGGCTAATTTTTTCTCTGTATTTTTAGCTGTCCAATTAATTTCTTTCTATTTTTGGTAGAGACGGGGTCTCGCTCTTGCTCAGGCTGGTCTCAAACTCCTGAGTTCAAACAATCCGCCCGCCTCGGCCTCCCAGAGTGCTAGGATTACAGGCGTGAGCCACCGCGCCCGGCCAAGGCCTTTAATTCTTAAATCATAAACCCAAGTATGTCTGTGTGTGTGTGTGTGTGTGTGTGTGTGTATAAATGCCAAGAGTAAAAATAAACTATATCAGTAGACATAATTTAAACTATTACATGCATATAAAGATGAAATAAAAAGGAAGCATTTTCTTTTTGTAAACATGATTCCAATTGTTTCACTTTTTAAATGTTTGTAACTACTGAAGTTTCTTACTCTTATGCGTTTCACCATAAAACTGATGTTACGGATTCCAGAGAAGTCTGTGGTCTGGTAAATTGTATCAATTGCTTTAACATGACTGGATATCTGTCAATTTAAAAAAAGAACAGTATTTTAGAGGCAATGTTGAAATATGAAAAAGATTGTTAACTTCCATTTCCAAAATCAAGAATTAATTATTCATGTTCCACCACATTCAAATTTTAAAATGCCTATATCATATACTAGATACATTATACAATGGATAACTGGGCTGAGAGGGGAAATTCTGTATCTTTTCCAGATTCTTCCCTGGCCAACAGCAAACATACACTCTTGTTTCAGTCACATAAAAATTTTGTTTTCTCAATCCATCCTACAATGTCACACATCCATGCCTTTTCACATGCTTCCTCTGCCTAGGGTATTTTGGTCTATTTATCCTTTGAACATTCCTGATAATATCAGGACGCTCAGTCATTACCTGACTTTAATCCTTCTATTGCTGTACTTGTACACATTCCGTAAGCTTTGTTGACCACTTTTTATATACTAGGCACTGTTTTAGGTACAGGGAATATGGTGGTGAACAAAATAGAGAAGGTCCTATATATTTACAGAGGTTTATTCTAGTGAGGAAAGGGGGGAGGGAGATAGATAACACAAATATAAAAAAGATACATTCAGATTTTGCTAAATTCTAGAAGTAAGCATGGTGATAGAAAACAAAAGCATTTGTTTACCTAGCCAATTCCCAACTAAACTCTCTGGCTGCTAAACCTCTCTGTATACTACCTTCTCAACTTCATTTACAAAAAGCACTCTTGCTACCATTTTTATGTGAAAACATGTATGTACTTTCGAAACTATTTTTGAAGAAACTGTACAAATATAAAACAAGATGGTCAAGTAAAAAGCATTAACAATAATAATTTCAAAGGCAGCCCAGGCTGGCAAACATTACTAATGAAAGTCATAGGGTCCGCTATAAAGTCATGCTTTCTAATCTCAGCTGAGCCTAGCATTCTTTTATCCAGTGCTATTTCTACTCCCTTCCCAACATGGTGGCTCAAACATTTCTCCATAGTAGATCATACTTCATATTTTACTGAGCATTCATCTCTACTTTCCCCTCTCTTTATCTTCAAATTTCCCTATCTTTATCCATCTCTATCTTCCTTAAAAGGTAACTCTTCCTCTTAAAAGGTAACTTTTCTTTATTACTGACTCCAACTCTTAGAGGATCTTCAAGAACATTATTTTTCTCCAAAAGACATTGTGGATATTCAAGGACATCAGTATTTCTTTCTCTTATATCTTATATTGTTTCTCTACTGAATTGTTTTCCTCTTCCTATCAATTTGTTCACATAATCCCTATACTCCCTTTACCCCCAAATATTCCATATTATTTCTAAATCACCATTTTTTTTCTATTTTTCACTTTTCTTGAAACTTTTACTGTCTCTGCCAAACTTACTGCTTGCAATGTTTTCAATCTCACATTCTACTGAAATCTTACTTAAAGCTCATCGATAATCTAGCAACTAAAAATTATCTTTTGTAATCATTTTCCTTGATATCTCTGCAATGACACAATTAATTATGTACTTTGTCTTAAAACTTGTTTATTCCTTGGCTAATCCTATATAATCTCCTACCTCCTTAACTGTTAAATTTTTCCTTACTAGTGTCTCTTCTTCCTCCTATTCACTACATACAGATACAGTCCAGTTTTTTCCCTTTTGATTTCATTCTCTTCCTACATTTTCACTATCTCTTTTGTACCCTTCAATTTCATATAGAAAGCTCAAGGCTAATCTTCCCTAAGCTCCAGTTCCACATTTTCAAAATACTAAGGGAATGATCTCCTGGCTTTCACACATGTCTAACAATAAGCTCAACTCCACCACCTAAATGAATTCTATCATTTATACTAGCGCTACCTCCGTCATCCCAGTCCCAAATCCTTTGGGTCAAAAATACATTCATCAAATTCTCACTGGGTGCCTTCAACATGAAGGACATTTTCAAGGGCATCTTCAAAACTTTATACTGTAATGAGGGCTGAGAAAACACAAGTACAAATAATAATGTAACTTAGAAAATTTAACTCTCTTTCCAAAGCTAAGCTTCAGTGTCATAACGTCTTTCAGGAAATCATCTTCTTATACCTCTCTTTTGAATGACACTGAAATACCCCAACTGGTCTTTCAGTTATCTGTTTACTTACTTTACATATTTTGTCACATCACAACTGAAAATACTTTTTTTCCCCAAAATGAGATACACACTCACTAACTTTAATTTTTAAAGGACAGGTATAACAAAGGTATAATAAAACGGTAAGAGAACATGAGAACACCTAAAATAGTGCATAATTATAAATACCTGGGCAATCACAGCTTCTCGTGTTCCATAATATTTAAAAAACAAATGATCAGTCTGAATATAAAGCTGACAAGTATTTTTTTCAGCTGAAGTTGTACGTTTTTTCCTCAGAAGTTCTGGACCATTAGCAGCATGTTGTTCTTGAGGTGTCTATACATCAAAGAGTCATTTCTGATAATTAGTATGCTCAACTACTAAAATTTTATATAGTTAAGAATACACATTATAAATAAGTTGGTATTCTGCTTTATTATGTAACACCACAGATATTTCTGCTACCATGAAACATTCATAAACACGACTTTTAGTCTCATAATACTTCCCACATAGATGATTTACTATTTATTTAAGCATCTCCTTCACTTTTAAACATTTTCAAAACATAACTCTTAATATGTACTCATTTAAATCTAAAGCAAGTATTTAAGTTTATAATACTTTGCTATCTTCTTCTACCTCATCTCTAATATCCAACCTATCCTGTCAAATTTATCTTCTAAACACTTATGGAATCTGCCCATTACCTCTGTTGCCCAAGCTACCATTACTTCTTTACCTAGAGTACTTTAATAAGATTGATTTAATCAATCCATGTCCACTATTGGCCTTAGATCTATTCTCCATACTGCAATCTTTTCAAAATGCAACTTTGACTATGTCACCCATCTCCATAATGTATTTCGATGACTTCCTATAGTCTAAGGATAAAGCCTTAAATTCTTCATATGCTCCACTAAAAACCAGCAATGCACAGCATCTACTTACCTGTCCAGGTAAGTATTACTCATATATTACTTCACAAAGAGACCCTACTATTCTAGTTCTCTGTGCTATGGCTACACAAGCTTTCTTTACAGAGGCTTCCAACACAGAGTGTGTCTCCTGCCATAGTCTTTGCACATGCTGATGCTGCCTCTTCTGATCTTATTAATGTCTTTCTTCAGACTTAGAAAAGGTCAATTCATTCATTACATCACTTCACAAAACCATGTACCAATGTCCCTAACATAGTGCAACTTTACATTTATTTGTGTGATTATTTGTTTAATTTCTGTCCCCACCCCACCGCCATTACATCATCCACTAGAACATAACCTCTGGAAAGAAGAAACTATTGTTGTATTTCTTTCTCACTATACTGCTATCACCTAACAGACTTGGCAGCAAGCAGGAGATGCTCAATAAGTATTTCTTTAAAGAATTACTACTGCTACTAAATCTAAGCACTCAAACACTTGTCAACATCTAAAAGCGCCATCTTAAGTAAATTTTGATGGCACAGTAATATAGAACCCAAATTGAATTGGGGGGTCAGGGGGACAGGGTCTTTGAATTTTTTTTAGAAACAAGGTCTTGCTGTGTTGCCCAGGCTAGATTGAAGTGCTGTCATCATAGATCACTGCAACCTCAAACTCCTGGGCTCGAGCAATCTCCTGCTTCAGCCTCCCAAGTAGCTGGGACTACAGGCATTGCACCACCATGCCCACCCAGCTAATTTTTCTATTTTTTGGCAGAGACAGGGTCTCGCTCTTAGTTATTGAGAAGTGAACTTAAATCTTCCATCATATGATTTTTCTATTACTTTTAGTCTCATCAATTTTTGCTTTATATATTTTTGAAGTTATGATATCACGGACATACAAATTTAAGACTGTTATAACATACTGGGGAATTGAACTTTTATCATTATGACATATCTATTTCAGTAATGCTTTTTTGCCTTAAAACCTATTTTGTCTGATATTAATAGATATAATCTTCATTAGAGTCAGCAAATTTTGAATCTTACACCCTCTTACTTTCAATCTTTCTACACTTTTATATTTCAGGCGTAGCTTTTGTAAAACAGTTTGTGTTGTTTTTTTTAAATCCAGTCTGATTGTCTTTTTAAATTAGTACATCTAATCCATTTACCTTTAATATAATTACCAATATATTTGGGTTTAAATCTTCAATTTTATTATTTATCTTCTATTTGTCCGTTCTGCTCTATATTCTTCTTTCTCTCCTTTCTTGCCTTCTTTTGGATTTTTGGTTTTCATTATTTCACCCATTTCCCTCTACTAGCTTTTCATAGTTACATATTTTACTAATATAATCCTTGACTTACCAAAGTCAAATATAAATTAGAACCTTTATCTGTTCATAGAGAATACAAGAACCTCAGAACACTTTAATTACATTTTTCTCACTACCAATTTATCTCCCTTTATATACACACACACAACGCACAAATAAATACAATCACATAAGTCTTTATTATTAATGCTTCGTAGGACAGTCAGTATTCATTTAGAATTATCCACTGTGTTGTTCTTTATCCAATCTTTCATCTACAAGTTACCATTTAAGTCCACAATCTTTTCACTAGGAAAAAACCTTTTAGTGTGGTCTGCTGGCTATACTCTCAATTTGAAATGCCTTTTACTATCTATTTACACTGAGTATAGCATTCCAGGATGGCAGTTACTCTGTTTCAGAACATGCTACTGTCTTTTGGTTTCAACTGTTTCCAATGAGAAATGAGCTGCCATTTTTATGTTGCTTCTTTGAAGGTAATTAAACTTTTTTTCCACCTGTTTGCTTTTAAGATTACATCTTTGCTTTTCACAATTTCTAATAATAATGATAGTAAAGATGTTGTTTTCAGTGTGAAGTATTTATCCTGCCCAAATTATAGGACTTAATGAATTTGTCATCTGATGTCTCCGTTATATTAAATATTTGGAAAATTCTCAGACATTACCTGGCCTTACTTGACTCCCAGTTTCTCCTTCTGGGACATCAATACACACGTTAGACCTTTTTAAAGTAACATCTATGTCTCTTATGTTCTTTTCTGTATTTTCCATCCTTTTGTTTCTTAGTGGTTTGCTCTATTCTCTTGTACCATACCAATCTGATCTAAATCCATCAAATTCTTAATTTCTGCTGCTATATTTTTTAATTCTAAAATTTCCATCAGGTTCTTTTGTTCATTTTCAATTTTCTGCTGAAATTTTAAATTTTGTCTTTATGATTTGAACATATTAAAGTCTGCATCTGATAATTTCATTACCTAGATATTTTCAAATGGTTTTTTGTCTATTAATTCCCTTGTTCTTGCCATGTTGTTTTGTTTGTTCATATGCTGGTTACTTTGAACTGAGAGCCAGAAAATATATATGGAAAATCACAGACATAAGCAGAGGCTTGAGGTGATGATATCTTTAAAGAGGTGTACCTTCACTTCTGGTAAGCAGTTAGGCCTGGTGTACTCCTAATCCTGGATCACCTTAGTACAATCAGACACTAAGAAGATGTGATGCGAAACTTTGATCCCTATGAGAGGAGGCCGAATACTTTCTGATTCACCTTAACTCCTAGGGAGTAGCCCTTCAAGGTCCCAACATTAAGCTCTTCTGAATAGACCCTAAACAACATTTTCATCCTTAGCCTCATGAGTCTGGACAGTTCTACTCACCTTCTCAGTCTCTCATCTACCTTCTCAGGAACTGGAAAACACACCTGGAGAAAAGGTATGCCCAAATGCCAGGCTCACCTTTCTAAATGTACACTTTCTCTAAGATCTTGGTCTAATTCTTCCTAGCCTTGTTATCTTTCCAATGCCTTCAAATAGATACATACATACACAACTACATGTATGTGGATATACATACATATAAACATATATATTTTTAAAATATTTATATTTTGAGGCCAGGTTAGTTTTGTTGTTTTTTTTTTTTGAGACAGAGTCTCACTGTGTTGCCCGGGCTAGAGTGCCGTGGCATCATCCCAGCTCACAGCAACCTCAAACTCCTGGGCTCAAGCAATCCTTCTACCTCAGCCTCCCGAGTAGCTGGGACTACAGGCATGTGCCACCATGCCCGGCTAATTTTTTCTATATATTTTCAGTTGTCCGATTAATTTCTTTCTATTTTTAGTAGAGACGGGGTCTCGCTCTTGCTCAGGCTGCTCTCAAACTCCTGAGCTCAAACAATCCGCCCGCCTCGGCCTCCCAGAGTGCTAGGATTACAGGCGTAAGCCACCGCACCCAGCCAGGCCAGGTTAGTTTTTATCAGTTGTTCTAATCAGGAAAAGGAATACTTCTTTATTTCTTAACAATTCTTTATTAATTTTATGCATTGTATTTCTCAAAGTTTATAACTTGTCTTCACTTTAAGGTGTCTTTTACTCCTAATTTTCATATAGTAAAATATATAAATCTTTTTTATTCAAAGTGTTTCTCTACTTCAAAATCCGAAATATTTTTAATATCTTCTTTTGTGAAGTATCTTTTCAAATGCTTTGCCCATTTTTTAATTGGGATTTGTGCATTTTTTAAAAATTGAATTATGAGTTCTTTACATATTCTGGAGTACTTCTGTCAGATGTTCCGTGAACATTTTCTCACAGTCTGTGGCTTGTTTTTATTTTCTTAACTGTGTCTTCTGAGGCAAAGTTTTTGATTTTGATCAAGTCTCATTTATATTACATGTATTTTTTTGGTAAGATATTTTTGTACCTTTAGAAATTATCTATCCCAAAGTCACAAACATTTCTGCTATGTTTTTTCCTACAAGTTTTACTTTAGCTTTAGCATATAGGTCTATTTTCCATTTTTAATATTGTGTAAAGTGTGACGTGTGGGTACATCTCAATTTTTTTGTTCATGTGATATCCAATAGTTCCAATAACATTTGTTGAAAAGACTGTTCTTAGTCCTCCTTTGAATTACCTGGGGACCTTTGCAAAAAATCAACTGACCATGTGGACTCTACTCTGTTCCACTGACCTGTATGTTTATCCTTAGGGCAAGATGACAATGTAGCTTTATAGTAAGTCTTAAAATCAGATAGTATAAATCCTCCAGCATTACTCTTTTTAAAAAAATTGTTCTGTCTATCCTAAGTCCTTTACATTTCAGTGTAACTTTTAGGATCGGTTTGCCAATTACTAAATAAATCATTGCTGGGATTTTTGATAGAGATTGCACTGAACATACAGAACAATTTGGGGAGAACTGACATATTAACATTGAGTCTCCCAGCCATGAATACAGTATACTTCTCGTATTTCTCCGTTTGTTCAGATCCTTAATTTTTCCTGGCAATGTTTGGTAGTTTCTTCGTGTATACATCTTGCATATACTCTGTTAAATTTATTCT